AGCGTCGTGGACGGCGGTCAGAGTGCGGGAACGAGGGCGCTTCTGCTTCTGGGTGGTGCGGGAGTTGACGGAGCGCTTGGGGCGGGGCAGGATGCGGCGCTGAGCAACGAAGAGGACGTGGCGGTCGGAGAACTTCTTCTCGAGCTCACGGGTCAGGCTGGAGGCGGCTGTTAGTTGGGTTGTTCTGGTGTTTCGTGACCACGCAATCCCGGGTGTTGACGAGAGAACAGGATATCATCATATACTCGAACGCGCACTGGGCACATCCGAGTGGCTTATGAAGCGTGGGCAAAGACAAGGAGGGATATCCCATACCGCTGCTGGATCTTGTGGAAGCCCTGGAGAAGAGGGACAGGGACGAAGATGATGACGGCCTTCTTGCCGTGACCAACCTCAACCTGCAAAATTCACGAAAGAAATCGTCAATACCAGTTTGCAGAGAGAGAGAGAGCAACATCGCAGAAAAGAGCAAAGTAAGCATTCGCGATATCCAGCACAGCAGATTAGTCGATCCGGTCGTCCGCGATGTCTTGTTCCGATTTTCCCTTGTTGAGTCGATGTGCTCCCCATTTCGAAATTTCCAATGTGGGAGGAACAGAGACCCGCAAAACACATCCAATTCATTGTAAAACCGGCGTGTGGGTTGTTGTGATTCGTAGTTATTGTTCTTGATGCCGTATCTCCGCATTCCGCACACACGCACACACAGTTCGGTTTTCCACCCCATTGTTGACGAAACAGAAAAAAATTTCCTCCTCTTCCGGACATGGCGACAACGACGGACTGGAACAATTGCTGATCTGCTGGCGAATACCACAAAGCGCTTGTAATTCACACAAAGACAGTCCTTACCTCACGGGCAGAGACGAACTGCAGGGGCCGAAGGGTGGCCTTCAGGTCCTGTGTGTTGCTCTCGAGGTCGAAAAGAGCACCGGCGATCGCGGTCTCCAGCTCGGAGGGGTTCTGCCTCGAGGGCGAGTTAAGGGCGATCTTGTTGATGGCAGCCATTGTTGCAGACGAGCGACGGGTTGCTGGCTGTGCTGCTAGGAGGAGAGGTGGTTGCTGCCTTCCTTGTCGTGAGGTTGGTGGTTGAATTCGAAGATACCGGGCAAGCAGCGACCCAATTTGCGCTTGGGTCGGCTGTGGGATCGGAGGCTCGGCGCTCTCGCTTAGCCGGCCGCCTTATTCCACATCCGGTCTAGTTAGGGGTGGCCCGGTCCCGTGATCTGTCTCGCCCTTCCCATCCTGTCTTCCCCGCCAACTTATCGCTATCGCTAGTATCCTATCGCTATTGCTTATCTCTGCAGTATCCATCACAGACTAAAGATAGATAGTTATAGATCCCATACGCCTTGGACTATGGCTTGGCTATAGTTTAGCTCAATTCACAGTTCGTTAGGATACACGGCTGGTATTTCCGGTCGATTGATCACTTTCACCCTAACCCTAATCCGCCCTTATTCTCTCATCTGTACAACAACATCCCCGATCATGCCCTCGTCACTCTCTGACGCAACAGTACAAAACAATAAGCTGAGAAAAACAACCGTTGGTAGCGCATCCATCAACACGAATAAAATCTCCAGACGCCGCAAGGAACGCGGGCGCAGACCGTAGAACCAGCCCTCCCAGAGCGGTCGCTGTTACCACCGCCATAGGATGAACACATTAATCTGTAATCAACCTGATATTGTATCGGAAAAGCAAAACAGTTAAGCAAGAGACGAACAAAGGCAAATCGCAGGACGCCCATAAAAAAAGCAATCTGGTATCAGCATGCACATCCTTCCTTGGCCGTCGCCGCGCCGCGCTCTCCCAGGTTGACCCTCGAGTCCTCGGCCGGGCGACCACCGCTCAGGCTGGTCTGTCCAGTGCCGGCGCCGGCACCGCGGCCGCTCTTTAAGCTGCTCTCCGGGATCGCATTGGCGATGGCAGTGAAGACATCGACCACGTTGTGACCGGTCTTGGCACTAGTTTCGAAGAACAATAGGCCTTCTTCCTCCGCGTAGGCGCTAGCCTCCCGGGTCGGCACCTTCCGAGCGTCTCCGTTCGAGACATCGGGTTCCTCCTGAGTTTCCTCGGTGGCTTCGTCCCCGCCGGCAGGCGATGGCTCGTGTTCCCCCTCGGCCTGCGCCTCGCCAGCCGCCTCGTTCGCGTCATTTGTCAAGTCCAGCTTGTTGCCGACGAGGGCGATGACAATGCCGGGGCTAGCCTGTCGTTGGAGCTCCGCCACCCAATGCTTAGCCTTGGTGAGTGAGGACGGCTTGGTGACATCGTAAACCACCAAAGCCGCCTGGGCGTTACGGTAGTACATGGGCGCAAGCGAGGCGAACCGCTCCTGACCAGCGGTATCCCAGATCTCGAATTTGATCGTCCGCGTCGGAAGGGAGCATTTTTGAGTCAGAAAGGCCGCTGAATCCGAAAAGAACCCCATGACATCAGCTTCCGGTGACACCGCGGGGAGGCTGTTGGGGTGGGGGGGACATCGCCACACGTCGGATGCTTACCTCCAATTGTTGGCTCCTTGTTCTCTTGGAAGTCATTGTTGACAAATCGCAGCACCAATGACGACTGTTAAAACCGAAAGCGATTCATACCGATCCATTGTCAGTCCCTGGGTCACTTTTTTTTTCGTCCCACGAACGGAGAACAGGAGGATGGCGGAAACTGCCGAGGTCGCTCATACCTTTCCAACCGCCGCTTCTCCCAAAAGTACCAGCTTGACGCTGCTGCTCGGTTTCGCGGTATTGGCGCCGGTTGACTCAGACATGGCTGGAGAAGAGCCCAACGGGTTTCAGGATTTGGGGAATTTCAAATCAGGTCGTCGTGCAGAATAGGCTAACAGCCACGGTGGTTTATCGATCGTTGAGGGCCGGATTTCTGCTCGCGAGGGGCGGCTCAGGCCGGCAATACAGATGGCGAAAAAGTTCGGAAGGAGGTAGCCTAAACCGACGACGTAAGCAGAAAAAACACGAGGTAAACTGGGAGCCAACTTCAAACAGGGGTGTTTAGATGAGGGGGGGCGAACACAAGACATGAAGGACCAAGTGCTAAGTGACAAGAAAAAAAGAGCCGACAAATAGGATAGACGGATAGGACGTACCAGGAGAGAGATGAAATGGCGGTAAAGAAGGGCAGCGATGCGAGAGGAGGTAAGAGGAGGTAAGGTAGAGTGACGACGACAAGAGAGAGAGAGAGAGACCAGGCGAGAGATGCTAACCGCCCATGTCGATACCCAGTGAGGCGGAGGTCCGAGTAGATGGGATGACGGCGCGATGCCCAACTCGGTTTAGCTTACCCCGACAGTCACGGGATGTTCCCGCTTCTCCGAAAGAGGGCTAGACTGTCCAGTGTTCAGGCAGGCAGTGGTACCTGAGGCGTAGACTAACTACGTCGTCTGCATCATTGGCGAGGAAATGCGGTGTAGTTTAAATTTCACCCAAACCTGACCAAGAAATTCAGACTGAACAAAATTCAGAAAAAAAAAAGAGTCAGTGGCTTTTCGGGTGACAGCAGACACGCACGTACGGGAAATGGGGTAAAAGAGGGGCTTAAAGGTGTCGTCAATTGATTGTACCTACCTAACCAACCGATAATCTGGCGGCCCTGGGCTGAGTACATCCTGTACAATATACAAAATGTACTTGCTGTATGTACTGTACATGCCTACTCCGGACTAGCTAGCTAGGGCTTCGTCAATTAATCTTTTTTCTTTGCTCCGTCTTCCCCGAGAGAAAGAAACGTCCTGCACACACACCCATTAGTCAGGACTTAGATTTCAGGACTTCATGACCATCGCCCTCTTTCGGCCTGGACCTGCAAGCACCTGCCTAGATACCTGTCCCATTCCGCCGCCTGTCCATACCCATCGACGGTGTCAATGCAGATTGTGTCTTCCTTTTCAGGCCTCATCCTGGCGGTAAAGGCGATAGATCAACTTTTCTGGTGATCAAAGACCTCAAAAGTACATCGAAATCCTCTCATTGGGCGACAAGCGATCTAGCCCAACCCAGCAACCTCAAAGCAACTAAGAAAGTAGCAGCTAGGTACTAAGGCAAGCCGACTCTACGTCGAAAGCACGAGGGAACCAACAGTGTCCGATAACATGCCATGGAATCCGAGCATGACGTGCCAAAAGAGGGTCCTCCCTCCCTCGCCCCCACCACCCCCTTCTTCCTCCCTCCCTCCCTTCCTCCAACGGTCAGAATCGCCTGTCAGCCTGTTAAGTTGGAGAGAAACATTTCCCCAGCGGCAGCAGCCCCGGTGCTGTCATCAAGCCGACGTTGCACAACATGATTTGCACAGGATTCGGTGGCTGCCCAAAAAAGAAGCACATGCAAGCCTGCGCTCGAACTTCCTGATTCTCGACCAGGGATCCACCCAGATAATGCTTAGGGCCGGCAAATCACGTTGAAGATGCTCTGTGCTCTCCCGTCAAGCCAACCCTGGAGCAATCGCCGCTTAATGGATTGCAGTCCAGCCTGCCTAGTGCGAGGTTATTCCTGAAGCTTTCAAGCTGGCATGCAAGACCAGACTCCCAATCTGGAGAGTGGAGGAGACAAAGGGCTGGTCAAGGGCAACGAAATGATCACTATTGTTGAGGAAATGCTTCGCTATGCCTAGCATAGCATACATACATCCGCGCAAATCATGAAAAACCCGCACACTGCAACAAGAAAAGACGACATCCACTGAGGAAATGTATTCTGTAAAATGAGACGAAATAACAATAAAAGGTAAGTGACCGCGAGGTCGGAGGTTCTAGTCTGTCTTGGTATCAATCCATGTATCCCACTGCACAAAAGGAAAAGTCAAAGCACAATAACCCAGTCCGTCTATAAGAAACGCCGATTCTAGAGTAGCCAAAATGAAACACCCGAGTAAAAGAAACAGATGGCTTTTAATGAAACAGATCATGGACCGGAGGTCGTGTCGGAAAATTAAAAAGGGTGTATGCGTCAAACGTAGAGTCGATCCAAGAAGAAGAAAGGCAGCCGGTGTCAGTCCATGATCGAGGTGATGGTGGAAAGGACAAGGACATGATTAGGAACCGAGTCGAATATGCCGAAAACAGAGGTGGCCAACGAAGAGCGTAAGAAAATCAGGTAGGTAGTGATACAGAAACTGGACTGGGTGGTCAGTTCTGGATCCAGGCCGATGCGCAGACGGGGTGCACAATACTTACAAGTTCGACTTCATAGCAGTCACGTTAAAACTCCAGGGGCCCTGCACCAGGTGCAAGAAAACCACCAGTAACTTTTTCGCTCGAGAGATCAATAGGATAGCAGATTGTGGTTGGCAGATGTCCTCCAGGGATTCATCGAGTCGAAGGGGGTGGCGGCGGTGCACCGGGCTTCTTGACCCCCGTGGTGTCATAAGCTCCGCGTCCCATGTTGAAGGCTGAGAGATCCTTGGGTATCATAGCCGATTCTGCGAAGACAGCCATGGTCAGAGAGGTCAAGGTTGGTCTTGTGAGATGGTAGAGGCAAGAGAGGCAGGAGGGTGGAAGTGGATGGGAAGAGAGAAAGTAGATCTTGGGGTTGAAGGGAGTACTCACGGAAGCTTAAATAAAGGACAGGTCTGGGTCTCCCGGAGGCCAGATTAATTTCAGAAAATGTCGAAGGCGAAAATTAAAAATAGTTGAAAATAAAATAATAGGAAAATCCAATTAATAGGGTGACTGTGCGTTTGTTGATAGATCGCCTAGCGAGGTACCCAAGATTCCCGGCAACAGGCGGTAATGATGCAGAGGACGGATGATGCAGCTGCAGGTGAGATCGGAAGAGCAATCCTTATTAAGAGGGATCACAGGTCTGACGCTCGAGACAGGGTGATGTAGCGAGGAGAGGTAGATCTGTAGGGCAGGAATGCGACTTCAAGGTACCAAAAGAAAATGGGCTTGTAAGAATGAGGAAAGGATGTGGAGTCCCTCAAGCCCAGTCGACAGGTCGTTTTTGCTGGGTTATTTCGAGCCCGGTGGCTAGGCCGTGGTACTTTGCTTTCCTTTCGAGAAAATCTGCGGTCTTGGTTGCTTTTTTCGCCGTTCGATATGTCGAGATCGTAGCAAACCCGCGGTAAACCACGCAGGGACGTGCTGGTGAATTATTGGAGATCAAGCGCGATCTGATCAAGAGCCGACAACCAAGGAAACGGAGCGACTAATGCAGCCCGCAAGGAGGTAATCCTGGAAAGGAGGTGCCACGGAAGTGAACTCCGTCTAATCCGGTAACGAAAAAGAAAACAATTGCGAGACTGGACGTATCGCAAGGGAGGATGGAACGCGGCCTGGTAGGTAACGTCACGGAGAGAGGCAGGTCGGGATAAGAACCGAAGGCGCGAGGGAATGGGCGAAAGTACGTAGGGAGGCGGATGAAGGAGGAGAAGAAAGAGGAGGTCCTGGCTGTAGATAGGAAGAAGTTCAAGAAGGGCGAGATCAATTGAATGGCCAGGCAGAGAATGGAGAAGGATGAATTGAAGAATTTAACCAAGTAGAGAGTTGAAGGGGCTCCATCACTTTGATATATACCGGTAAGTACCTCGCTTTATTCTTCTTCATTCTACTGCCATTGCAATTTTTTTGATTATTTTAATTTACTAAAATGGGTCATTCTTTTTAAGATTGGGGAGGATCTGACCAGACAGTCAACAGAAAACTGAAAAAGAAAAGCTTAAAAAATAGAATATTAAATCAGAGAAATCAGAAAAAAAGACGGACTGAGAACCACTGAAGAATTTCAAAAATAAAAAAGCAAAACAAAACAGACAAGAGATGAGATAAAGTGGCAGCAGTCGCAGCAGCAGGAGCAGGGAGAATCAAAAGGGTAAACACAGAGTACCTAAAAGAAAAAGAGACGAAAAACCCAAAAAAAAATAAAAACATAAAATAAAACCAAATAAAAATAGTAAGTACGGAGTAGTAAGAAAAAGGTACCATACCCCAGCTGACGGGGCCAGAAAAGGCCAGAATTATCGGAGGAATAACAGTAACGATAATTAGTTAGTCGGATGGATTTAGTTAAGAAGAAAGAGAAAAGGGAAAAACTACTCGTAGTAAGAATAATCAATTCGCAAAACATAATACAGACCCAGCACTAAGGTCAGAAGCAGCTCTGTTTACTGTCGAGCGTACAGTACATAGTACAGTACATACCTACCTACTGTACATAGCTAGGTCAGCGGCTCTCCCGTCCCGAAGCTGTGGATGCGAAACCATGAGTCTTCCCCTCCTATTGCTTTTCCTTTCCCCCTTTCTTTTCCATTTCTTAGGGGTTTCGCTGCGTCCTCCCCCCTTCAAGTTGCCAACGTTCCCAATGGCTCTTGTGTCGCCATCCTTTCTGCTGCTTCTTGTTGTGCCTGAGTAGTTCATGCTTACGGAGTACACTCGATGATTCAATCCCTAATCCATGATCAATGTTTCGTGAACATGAGTCAGAAAATCCCGATGATGGCTGATTCCAAACACGGGGGTTCATTTCGGAAATTGGAAGGCCATACATCACCCCAAGGAGGACGAAAAGAAAAACAAAAAAAGGCACGTCTGATCTGTAACAGCAGTCTTCATCATCATCATCATCATCCATATCCATATAATCCGAGGTTCCAGAATCCGAGTCAATCGCAACCGGGTATCAATCAGTCATGGTTCTCGTTGGCCATCTGTTAGTTCGGTCGTAAGGGAATGGATGGATTGAATGGATCTTGGGCCGTCATGAGACATCAAAGTACTCCGTACAGTACCTTAGAAAGAGGAATAGTATCGGGGATCTAGCCACACCCACCATCGTCATTGCGGCGACCACCGCACCTTTTCTGGTAAAAGCGAAGAAAGGCCAGAAAAATTCGACTCCACCCAGAATTGCACCCTTTGAACCTATCTACCATTACCACAGAAGCTAGGGGAGAAGGAACCGACTTCTCGGGCAAGTTTGGTGCATGTGAGTGGAGACGACAGCCGCTCACAGGAACCCGCGGATGGATCCGCTGGGGGCTTGTCTTCATGCTCGCTCGCGTGGTGTTTTGGGGTGGGTGGGAAGAAGTGGGAATCAGGGGCCCCTGGAAACTGGATGAATGGTAGTTAACGATCATGGCGAATGCCATATCGATCCATCATCCATGTTGATTATTCCCGTGTCTTTCAGCATGTTCGCTTGTTGATTGATTGAACGAACGTCTCGTCAAGATCGTCATTGACTTTGATTTCCTTTTCTCTTGATCCTTGGCTTGATTTATTTTCCGTCATCGATGAGACCTAAATTTTCGGACTGGGGCTATCATTTGCCATCGTTTGGTTGCTGACAAAATAGAGCCGATTAGTTAGGCGGTGTTCTGGTCGGCTGCTTTCCCCCAACGCGCTAGACGCACTCTGGGAAGGGCCCGGAGTAGTACCTGCATAGGCGCCCCATTGTACGATCACGATCATCCCGACTTGATCGAGCAGCAAACTGGCACAAACAATCATTGGATAATGCGCTTGCTTGCTTGATACCTTGTAGCCAGGTAGGTAAGGTACATTAAGCCAGCCTATCATCTTAGCGAGCTTGACTTTCCACTTTGGTCACCTACGGTTTACCGTAGTCCCTCGATGCGACAACGCAGGGAGAAGGGGGGCCGAGGGGCATGCATGAGGTAAGCAACCACAGCAGGCCGCAGCCTCCGGACACTTTTACTACTGCTAAGTCGACCACCTTATGGGGAAGAAGAGGGTCTGCTCTCGCCTGGATCAGGTCTCAGAACCAATCCGAGAGCTCCCCGTTGGCTGGTCAGGTATCTTAGGTAGGCAGTCGCCTGGCTAGAGAGTTTCGGGAGACTATGGCGAGCAAAATCACTGTTTAGTGTTTATTGATTCGATCCCCTTCCTCGGCTGGCCCACCAGTCTCCTGATTTGATTCATGTCAGCCACAGGAGGGATGATGGGATGGATGGTGGTTCGTTTGTCTGAGACTAAACAGACTAGACTAGGACAGGTCAACTCGGCGCCTTTTGAGCCACATCATTTTCTCCCCTACCAATACTCCGTACACGTTAACTTCGTTTCAAACCCTCTCGCTTCCCGTTTTATGTTTTTTCAAGTGATACCTCGCCTGTCGGTCTCGACCCTGGATTCCAGAACCTCTCTTTCCCTTCTAGCCCTCCGGGTTCTGCCATCTTCTTTTCTCTTTTAGTGGATATTTCTGAGCTGGTGGTCACCGGGGAAATCGGACGGGCTGAAAGGGGGCAGTGGGGCCCCTCTAATAACGATCATTGATCCGGCAAATCCACCGCTACCCGTCTCCGTCATTACGTAGGCTAGTATTATTCTCGACCCAGACTAGACCCAGCCTGCATTCTTCTCGCGTGCTTCTAGTCCTTCTAGCGCCACTCCCCGCGAGCCCCCCTCCCCTCCCCGATGGGTCTTTCTACACAAACCGCCAGGCAAGCTCATCATCGTTCCTCATGAACTCCAAGGCAGGTCTAGAGGGAGACTAGTAACTCAGACAGTAGAAATTGATTGACACGGAGGGAATTCCCACAAGATTGTGTACCCGATGGGACCTTGGTGCAGCCCTGTGCGGGCTTTCTTAGCGGGTGACATACCCGGACACATGGAAGTCGTTTGTTTACCCACTGCGACTAGTGACTAGGGTAGGTACTTACCACTTTAGGAAGACAAGGATGATACATCCTCATACTTACAGCACGATAGAATTGCAGTACGTATTCTATGTATGTATTCCTTCCATCGCATCTGTGACCGCCTTCCCAAGTCTTTGCATCCGTCCTTGGCAAATACGAGGACACCCAGTCGCTTGCACTCCGTATGACCTAAAATTACTCGAACCCCACACCGCCGCTAAGCTGCTGATGCCGCTGCTGCTGCTGCTACTCATCCACCGCATACATCATTCTTACTTCTCGGGAAACTCCCTGACACTCGCCACAATGGGGGCGCAGAGGGAGCCAAAGCGAATCAAAATTCTCTTCTTCCCGAATCGTGTGTCCGCTTGCCCGTACCCAGCAGGCGCCGCGTCTGCTTGTTGGTTCCGGAGATCGCAGCGGCTTCCGAGCCGCCGGCGTTTGAGAAGTTAACTCGACCTTGTGTTGTGTGCGTGTACGGAGTCGCATGGCGCCTAACTTATCTCTCTCCTTAAGATCCAGGGACGCCGCTGTAGTTAGCCAGTTAATGCAGAAAGTACCGTACGCTTCATCCCGAGCGTGTGGCAAGGATGATCCCTGTGAGAGTTGGCGCGAACGCGCGTGAACTAGCCTCATCCATGGTAGATAGATAGATCATCTTTCTATGTTTCGGGTGATTGACCAGCCACTATTGATCAAGGCCTACATAGTATGTTTGACGGGGCCTAGACAGCCTTGCCTTTGAATTGAACTGAGAAAGTACAGTCGAGTTCTCTCTTTGGAACAGAGCAACCAATGATATGTATTGGTTGGCTTGTGTTGACTGATCGCTCGTGCTGTGTACCAAAAGTACTTTCTTGCCCTATGGTTGCGATGGCAATTGAACTTCAGTCTCAAACATCGGAGAGACACGCCAGTATATTATTCATGTTACCCAATAGATTCGCTAGCATCGAACCATGCCGCCGTCAACAGCAACAGCAGAGTCGGCAGACAGCCCCAGAAGACATGCGATCCGATCAACTGCCGTCCAATTTCTGCGCGAGCATCAAACCTTACGGTATGTTCCATCAGTAACATCCAATTCAACTGACAGCCCAACCCACACCCACACCCACACCCACCCCCTTCAACTCTCAACTCTGACATATGAGTATGCCCAACGCCATCCCCGACGAGAACCCACCCACCCACCCACCCACCCAACAGATAGGCCCCCCAAAGGCAAAAGCCGAAATTCCAGAAACCTTCTAGAAGGCCCATCCGGACGGTAACTTTGCCCCAAAGCCGCGGGCGAGTGGAAAACCATGGTTCCCTCCCGAGATTCGTCCCAGATCCAGTTCGTCTCGGTTCCTACTGCATTAGGCACAGTGCCTGGCCCTAAGCCCCTAGGTAGTAGGTACTGTATTATAAGGTACTGTACCTAGTGTATGGGGAGAGAGGGGCCCGGGGGTAGTGGTGGTGGTGGTGGTGTTCAACGACAAACGTCATTGCATACACTACACCCAGTCCCAAGCAGGTAACGTAGAATAGAAAATTACTAGGTTCTCTCTTACAACGGTCTGAGTTTCCCAAGGAAGGCAAGACCGAGTCCGACGGGAGTCGGTCGGGCTCCATCTTTTCGGATGGTGGTGGGCTTTTCTAGTTAGATATGGGTGTCTGTCTGGTGGGTTTGGATTTGTGTCTACCAAAAAAGACGGTCGTAATCCGCATACGGGTATTCCCGTACGGACTAGAATGACACTAGAAACTGGAAGGAAGGCCGCTAGATGCAGGAACCGTTGTGCACCTGGCAGTAGAACTGGACTCCGTAGTTAGACCGGTTAGGGGGGGGGTCCCAACTTGGTCACTGTAGGTAGGCACTAGGCAGCACTGACTACGGTAACTGGCTGTGAGAATTAAGACATTTGCAGCCCTGCCCTAAGGTCCTAGTGAGCAATCCCCCCCCGGAAGGGACCTCAGGTAGATTGGAAATTTCCGCTTTCCGTCGGAGTGCGGACGTTGAGTTCGGCTCTTGCTAGGGGAGGGGGGGGTGTTCAAGGGTTGTTGATGAGGGCTGGATCGTTTGGTTGCTAGGTAGGGGTGTCCTGGGCCGCGCGCGGGTTTCGGCCTGTTCGGTCTATGACTGAGGATCTTTGGAGGGTCTTGGTCACTGTTTACATTGCAATTGAAGGCGCGAGTCGGATGGATTGAATCTAGCTCCGACTCTGGAACGTGGGCATGTGACTGATTGATCTGCTGGAGTTGTGCTATCTTGAGTTGGTGCCTACTAAGTACTGTACCGGTCGTCTAATCTATTGAGTATTCCGTAGTGTTGTGTCTCTAGCCGCGCGGATCTATCAACTCTCCGATCGCCTGTATGGATCCCCCTCCCCGATAGCCTTCTAATCTTAAAACGCGTCCAGCCTCAGCCAGCATCATCAATAATATACTTGCTTTGCTGAGTACGTAGCTTGCTCGATGCAATTACTGAAAATTGGGCCTAATGCACAAAGTACGCGATGTGCGATACATCGAAGAAGTGTCGCGAATTGGGAAGTGGAATGATGGCAGGTCACTAGCTATGGAGCACTAGCCACACAACCTGCAAACTGTCAGGTATCCGTTGAAACAAGGTTGATCTGCCTGCTGTGTCTACTGAGCAAAAAAAAAAAAAAAA